TGTGTAGGGTATCATATGGTCGGCCCCGTCCCACTATACTGCTCCGCTCACTGGTTTTTGTTTGTTTTTCTGATCCGCCTAGAGGCCACAATTATGACCGAAATATTACGAAAGGGGTCTGACCATAGAATAAGCATAACTGTTTTGTTGATTATCGGTCAATATTTAGCGGGTCAAATGAACCCAGAATTTTGTGTGAAAAAGTACAAAGTTACTATTCTATTGCGTATATGTTTACTCATAAGTAGACCTCGGATTTTTGCATATTTTTTATGCTTTATCCGATTGGACTCAAATTTTGTATTTAGGCGTTTCATGCTTTAAGTGATCGATATTTGGTGTCATGTCAAAAATATGCAAAAAATATGCAAAATATATGCAAAAAATATGCAAAATATATGCAAAAAATATGCAAAATATGCAAAAAATATGCAAAATATGCAAAAAATATGCAAAATATGCAAAAAATATGCAAAATATGCAAAAAATATGCAAAAATATGCAAAATATGCAAAAAATATGCACGGTATGCTAGGTCGATATGCGATAAATATATGCAAAAAATATACAAAATATGCATTGTCGATATCCAAAATATGGAAAATATGCAAAAATATGCAAAATATGCAAAAATATGTGCAAAATATGCAAACATATGCAAAAATATGGAAAATATGTGCAAACATATGCAAAATATGCAAAAATATGCAAAATATGCAAAATATGCAAAATATGCAAAAATATGCAAAATATGCAAAAAATATGCACGGTATGCTAGGTCGATATGCGATAAATATATGCAAAAAATATACAAAATATGCATTGTCGATATGCAAAATATGCAAAAATATGCAAAATATGGAAAATATGCAAAATATGCAAAAATATGTGCAAAATATGCAAACATATGCAAAAATATGTGCAAACATATGCAAAATATGCAAAAATATGCAAAAATATGCAAAATATGCAAAATATGCAAAAATATGCAAAAATATGCAAAATATGCAAAAATATGCAAACATATGCAAAATATGCAAAAATATGCAAAATATGCAAAAATATGCAACATATGCAAAAATATGTGCAAAATATGCAAACATATGCAAAAATATGTGCAAACATATGCAAAATATGCAAAAATATGCAAAAATATGCAAAATATGCAAAATATGCAAAAATATGCAAAAATATGCAAAATATGCAAAAATATGCAAAAATATGCAAACATATGCAAAATATGCAAAAATATGCAAAATATATGCAAAATATGGAAAATATGCAAAAATATGCAAAATATGCAAAATATGTGCAAACATATGCAAAATATGCAAAAATATGCAAAATATGCAAAAATATGCAAAATATGCAAACATATGCAAAATATGCAAAAATATGCAAACATATGCAAAATATGCAAAATATGCAAACATATGCAAAATGTGCAAAAATATGCAAAATATGCAAAAATATGCAAAATATGCAAAATATATGCAAAATATGGAAAATATGCAAAAATATGCAAAATATGCAAAAATATGCAAAATATGGAAAATATGCAAACATATGCAAAATGTGCAAAAATATGCAAAATATGCAAAAATATGCAAAAATATGCAAAAATATGCAAAATATGGAAAATATGCAAACATATGCAAACATATGCAAAATGTGCAAAAATATGCAAAATATGCAAAAATATGCAAAATATATGCAAAATATGCAAAATATGCAAAATATATGCAAAATATGCAAAATGTGCAAAAATATGCAAAATATGCAAAAATATGCAAAATATGCAAAATATATGCAAAATATATGCAAAATATGCAAAATATGCAAAAATATGCAAAAATATGCAAAATATATGCAAAATATGGAAAATATGCAAAAATATGCAAAATATGCAAAAATATGCAAAATATGCAAACATATGCAAAATATGCAAAAATATGCACGGTATGCTAGGTCGCAATATTAAAGCTATAACTTTGAAATTTTGCACATATATTATTATTACTCCTAGGATGTTTGGTATTGGAAATGGGATATATCGGTCCACGTTTTAGTATATCGCCATATAACGGTTATATATGTTTGCATGTTTTATACATATATTTAGCAAATTTTTCATAATGCCCCAAAAATCTGACAGTTGAACCATGAAACGCATACATGCACAATTAGATTTCTATAGGATAAAAATAAAGAAAGCACACAAATTCGAAAACTACTATGAAAAATCTTTTTTTTTTTATTAAAATGGTTGCATATGTGAAATATGTTGCTCATATTTTGCATATTTTTGCCTATATTTTTCATATTTTTTGCATATTTCTCGCATGTCGACCTAGCATACCGTGCATATTTTTTTGTATATTTTGCATATTTTTGCATATTTTGCATATTTTTGCATATTTTGCATATGTTTGCATATTTTGCATATTTTTGCATATTTTGCATATGTTTGCATATGTTTGCATATGTTTGCATATTTTTGCATATTTTTGCATATTTTGCATATATTTGCATATTTTGCATATTTTTGCATTTCTTGCCAATTTTGCATATTTTTGCCAATTTTGCATATGTTTGCATATTTTTGCATATTTTGCATATTTTGCATATATTTGCATATTTTTGCATTTCTTGCCAATTTTGCATATTTTTGCCAATTTTGCATATGTTTGCATATATTTTGCATATTTTTGCATATTTTGCATATTTTTGCATATTTTGCATATGTTTGCATATTTTGCATATTTTGCATATTTTTGCATATTTTTGCATACAACAACAAAACAATATTTTTTGCATATTTTGCATATGTTTGCATATATTTTGCATATTTTTGCATTTTTTGCCAATTTTGCATATTTTTGCCAATTTTGCATATGTTTGCATATTTTTGCATATTTTGCATATTTTTGCATATTTTTGCATATTTTGCATATTTTTGCATATTTTTGCATATTTTGCATATTTTTGCATATTTTGCATATGTTTGCATATTTTTGCATTTTTTGCATATTTTGCGTATTTTGCATATTTTGCATATATTTTGCATATTTTTGCATATTTTTGCACATTTTGCATATTTTGCATATATTTTGCATATTTTTGCATATTTTGCATATTTTGCATATTTTAGCATATATTTTGCATATTTTTGCATATTTTGCCTATATTTTGCATATTTTATGCATATATTTTGCATATTTATTGCATATCGACCTAGCATATTTTGCATATTTTTTGCATATTTTGCATATATTTTGCATATTTTTTGCATATTTTGCATATTTTTTGCATATCTCGTGCATATGCAAAATATGCAAATATGCAAAAAATTAAAAAATATGAACCCTTCAAATAATTCTAAATCCTTTGAAACGAATTTGTGTCCAATCAGAATTTCGATATCTTCATTATTAAAAAAATATGCAAATATGCAAAATCCGAGGTCTACTCATAAGGACTTACAGGTGTCTACGTATTGTGATATTACCAATACCACATTAAAGGGTATACATTTTGAGCTGATGGCTAGGAAATTTAGCATGAGCTTCCGGCTATGGTCAAGGACACCGCCAACAATTTTCGATGATGATAGAATGATATTTCGGGAATGAAAAGAACTGAAAACATTATTTTTGTATGGTTATCTACGCCACAATTACAAGCCGAAAATTTCCATGTAGAACTCGATACAACTGAATCGAACTAATCAATATTTAGCGGGTCAAATGGAGCACAACTTTTTATGTAAATTTTACTCCGGAACATTATTCGGAAAATATGCCGCAGAGGAGGTGTTTCGCAATAGAGATCTACAGAAACATAGAGCTCGATGGTAGTTGTGTAGTGTATCATATGCTTCTACGCAAAGGAGACCTGTAGGTGATTTCCGAAAGACTTCTTCCACAGAAGAACTCTAGAAATAATTTTCTCCGCAGAATAACTTAAACGTTTTCTATTTAAAGAGGAGCTTTCTCCTAGCCCTATCAGATGACTTTTTCCGCAGAACAACCCTAGAAAATTATTTCTTCACACAATAGCTTTAACGTTGGAGACCTTTCACAGTTTTTACTTAAATAAAAGACCTTCTACTATTTATGTAAGAACTGTGAAAGGTCTCCAACTTACAGTAGAGTAGTAGGAGGACTTCTTCCACTGAAGCTCTCTCTGAAGAAGACCCATAAATCGGTTTAAATCCACAAGAGACCTGTAACATTTCTTCAATATACAGTACGCCTTCAAGATGCCTTCTATCTGTTGCATTGTGTTATATATCCATTAAAATTTGTTGCTGTTAGTCCTCCACTCACATTATTTTCAGTTTTTTATATTTAGCATAGAAAAATTATTATCTAACTGTATAAATAAGTCATTCTGTCTGTGTGTATTGTTTGTATTAGTTTCATTGTTGTTTTTGTTTCTCTTGTTTTGCCTGTGTGTATTTATTTTTGGGTGGGTGGTTTAATTTAGTTTTATTTATTTAATAATTATATTTAACGTTATTTTCATTTTTATCATTTTCCTTTATTTATACATGATATTGTTTGTCATTAAGCATTAACTACTGACAGCTGTTTCCCCCTTCACCGAAAAAACAAAAACCATTTCCGGTTATAATGGTGGCTGATACCAATCTATGTTACCCCTACTCCTCCTCCTTCATTGTGTAATGGGCACCTATGATTTGTATTGTTGGTTTTCTTGTTTTATTCTATAAAAAATGTTTAGCATTCTCGTATGTGTGTGTCTAGACATTTTCGTTTTTCTTTTTTAATAATTTTGATTATTTCTTTGTTGTTATTAATGTATTTGTGTTTGGTGTTTGTATGTGTGTGTTTCCTTTGCGGGTTTTTGTTTTGGTTGTAATGTATCTATGTATAATGCATATGTGTGTGTTTGTTGCTGTTTTTTTGGCTTTATTAATTTATTCACTTTAATTGCTTTTTTGTTTTTTTTTAGTTTTCTTTATTAACTTGTTTGTAAATCAGTTTAATTATCTTGCTTAATTAAACTATGACTCTTTTGGTTAATCACCACCTAAACTTAACGCCTGAACTATACGTGGATCAGCTTTACTACCCTCACGGAATTCCTCTAATGTCAAGCGATCATCGTGATTTTTATCCATTTGATCAAAGATTTTATCCACTCGTTTTTGCGGTGTATTCTCATCATCCGTTTGTGGCGTCTGACCCTAAAGTGTAATAATGTGTGGAAAATTTATTAAAAATATAATTTTGAGAGAAACATTTTAAATTATTTTATAAATAAAAAGTTTAATAATTAAAAAAAAATATTTTTTATTATTAGTGGTGTTAGAATTATGTGATTGTTATTGGATTACAGCCATTATGCCTTAATTTTTTACTCGACGAAATTACAGTTTTGTAATTTACATAAAGTGACTGAAGCTCCCTAAATTCATAAAAACTCTTTTTTTTTAAAAAATTCTTCAATATCAATACAATTGACTTTCTCTCAACATTTTTTTTCTGCATTATTACATAACCAACTATATTTCTCTAAACAACCCCTTAAACCCTTTCTTTACCACTTTGCGAAATTACTTATTTTTCCCCAAATAAAAAATTTCAATTAAACAAATTGTCAATTATAAAATTGGTGTGAAGAAGTAAAAAATACTAAAAAAAGTAACCAAAAAAAGTCAACATTCCACCACAATACATACCACCATTTGATAGATGGCATCCACAATATTGTACATTTCCTCTCTTGTGATATAGCCATCATTATCGACATCGTACAACCGAAAAGCCCCTATAATGGAATAAGATAAAAATAACAACAAGAAAAAACATTAAATAACATCGATTAGAAACAGCAAGTCAATACAAAGACATTTTCAACGGTCAACTTACATTGCAACTTCTCATCAAGATTTCCTCTGGATGTAATCGACAGTGCTCTAATGAACTCTTCGAATTCTATCGCTCCATCCTGTTGGGTAAGAAAGAGAGAGAGAGAGAAATAAATGAAACAAATCGTTTTGTATAAAAAACACATTTTTCTTTGAAATATATTTTTTATATGGGAAATGGATTTTTCAATATGTGACTCGAATGTTTAAAACATGTGTGAAGACCTGCCATCTGATGATGGATGTACTCGGATTTTGATAAAGTGTTGTGTGTGGATGACACAACAGATGAAATGGATATATTTTTAAAAGTGCTTGTAGCTAAAGTGCACACATATGATGAGATTGATGCCATGACTGAATCTTAATTCCTTTAATTTTTGGTAATGGACAAAATGTTGATTTTTGGAATTTATTTTGAATATTATTGTAATCTTCTAATCACTTGGAATAATTTCGGGAGCGCAGCGCATTACGTTCCCATACATTTATTACATAGTTTAAGCAATTATTAATTGTATTTTATTTTCTTTATACATGTTTCAGCCTTCAGTACATATACGTGTTAACAATTATACACACAATACGTATACCACGGGGTGTACAGAAAGCATTCAAAATTAAAACGATGAGAAAGAAGAGTTGCTTTTTTTAATATATCTTTAATAAGCGTGGACTTTTTAGATATTTTTTCAACATACAGAATTTCAAGAACACTTAAAATTTTTCAAGAACAATCTAAAACCTGTGGGTCGATTCACTATCAAGTTTAAACAATTCTCAAATCGATAAACTATTATAACGACAAAATAAACAATATTTCAATTCTATAACAGTTTTTTAACAACAATTGTTAAAAATGTTGTTAATAAACAACACCAAAATATTCGAAGTTAATTTATCGACAAATATTTTTCAATATTGAACATGCCTTGTTTTGCTCTGAATTTGTATGTATTTTGTTTTCAAAATGTTCAAAATTAAAAGCTTTTTGAAAGTTTATCGACAATTTGTCTACATTTTTACTGAATAAGATTTTCGTTACTGCAAACGATTTTTTGTGTAGACAAAATTGTCGATTGTCGGATCGTTATAAGTTACTGAATCGACCTACTGAAATTTTTAAAAAATACACAACTATGTTGTCAGGGTATTATAGCTTTGTGCAGCCCCAAAAGTTTGTAACGCCGCGAAATATTGGTCCTAGACCCACCTTTAAGTATACCGATAGTCATATCTCGACTAGCTGAGTCGATCTAGACATGTGTGTCCGTCCGTCCGTCTGTCTGTCCATTATAATTTGTAAACACGATACAGGCCACAGTTATGGACCAATCTTCACGAAATTTTGCATGTACGATGGGTTCTGGCCAATTAAGACCCCTATTGTTTTTGGTAAAGATCCGTTAATATTTAGGGGATGAAATGGACCAAAAACTTTATTTTTGTCTGATTTTCTGGTCGCTCCAGAGACCGCAATTATGGCCCAAACATCTCGAATTTTTAAATGGAGAAGGGGATTGGGCCAAAGAATAAGCATGTTTGTTTTGAATAAGATCGGTCAATATTTAACGGGTCAAATGGACCCTGACTTTTGTGTGAAAAATTACAAAATTTGTATTCTATAGCTTATATATTTACTCCTGGAAGACATAGAGCGAAGAAGTTTATAACATATCCAAGAGGAGTGGTTGACCTTTTAATTGATACCAATTACATCGTCGTATGGACTCGGATGTGGGAATTACACGTAACTGTTTACAGATGCTTACGTATTCTAAAAAGGTAATATAATTTAATAAATCTACGTTTGTCAAAAATTCTAAACAATTGTGTTTTTATTTCTATAAATATAGACCAAACATGCTGATCGCTTTGAAATGTTCCATGAGGTTCCATTTATGGTCAAGGACAACGCCTCTAATTTTAGGTGATGATCAGATAATAATTTTGTGACGAAGTGGACCTAAAACTTATTTTTTTTTGTTTTTTTTTTTTGATTCGACCTATAGGCTACAATTATAAGCCGAACATCACAACACAACCCATGGTGAAGGGAGTATAGACAAGTAATTAGAAGGGATGTACTGAATATCGGTAATATTCGGAAAATATTTCAGGGTAAGAAGAGGTGTTGTTGACCTCTAATCGAGCAAGAGGATACAACTATCACGAAATATTATCCAGGCTAGGAATAAAAATCCGCAGAAAGATAGAGTTCTGTGGTAGTTGTGTAGGGTATCGGATGGTCGGCCCCGTCCGACTATACTGCTCCGCTCACTGGTTTTTAAAGAATATTTATTCAAGGACTACTATGGGTGTGTTTTTTTTAAGAATATTTTTCAGAACTTCTATAGGCATGGATGTCGATTCACTATCAAATTTAAACAATTCTCAAATCGATAAAATATTATAACGACAAAATAAACAATATTTCAATTCTATAACAGTGTTTAACAACAATAGTTAAAAATGTTTTTTTTCAACACCAAAATATTCGAAATTAACTTATAAAAAATATTTTTGAATATTGAACATGATTTGTATATATATATATATATATATATATATGTATTTTGTTTTCAAAATGTTCAAAAATAAAAGCTTTTTGAAAGTTTATCGACAATTTGTCTACATTTTTACAGAATAACTTTTTCGTTACTGCAAACGATTTTATGTGTAGACAAAATATTTGTAGGTATGTATAAGTTACTGAATTTACCTACTGGAAAGAATATTTTACAAGGACTACCATAGGAGTGGATTTTTTTAAAATATATTTTTTAAAGGACTAATGTGAGTGTGGGTTTTATAATGTAATTTTTTTTTTGTATGACATTTTTTAAAGAATATATATTTTCATTAAAAATATGAAAAAAGGGCGTAGATTACAAAAAATATATATATATATATATATATATATATATATATTTAAGAACTACTAAAGGCGTGGATTTTCTATAGGATATTATACTTTAGGCATGGATTGTTTTAAATAGTTTTTCAAAGACAGTTATATTCACGGATTGTTTTAAGGAATATACAAGGATATTTGTAGGTATGTATTGTTCGAATTTACTTAAAAGATATTCTTCAAGGACTAATATTGGCGTGAATTTATTTTAAAGATATTTTCAATGACTAATGTGAGTGTGGGTTTTATAATGTAATTAATTTCCTTTTGTATGACATTTTAGCGAGAATATATTGGAGAATATATTTCCGATTAAAAATATGAAAAAAGGAAAAGCGTAGATAGTAAAAATGTCGTATTTTAAATACATCTATCAAAAAGCTGAAAGATATTATTTTTTTAATAGAACTATTTTTTAGAAAGTAAGCTAAGTAAGTTTGTTAAAGTTTTTTTAAAATGTTTCAATTTCGTTTTTAATCCATGTCTGATATCTATTCTGTTCTAAGTTGTGTGTATGACAAAATATGTTTTGAATTGTTAAAAATTATATACTTACATTATTTTCATCAAATACCCGAAATACTAATGAGGCAAATTTACTGGGATCACCTTGGGGAAAGAACTGTTTGTAGATTTTTATAAAACCCTGAAAACAGAAACACCAACAAAGTTGGCAATAGAAATTTTTAGCAAAACACTTAAAACAACATTGTAAAGTATATAACAAGCAAATAATTATATTCTACAAAGCAATGCTAAAAAACTACAAAAGGCAAATAAAACTAAACGAAATTGCACATAAAAAGAATAAGAAACACTTTAATGACAACTTTCAAAATACAAAGTAGCATAAATATATTCTAAAGAGGGAATAATGGAGAGTTTTCTTTTTAGTTTTTAACAAAATTGAATAACGACAAAAGCAAAATCTCTTTTAGGGGACTTTTTTACATGAAGTATACATGGATTTAAACTATATTAAAAAGTTAATGTAGATTAGATTATGAATTATTTGAATGCGATTTTAAGACGATTGAAAATTGCTGAATTACTACTTAAAATCGGGTAAGGTAAATTGTAAGTAAAACCAGTGAGCGTTGCAGTATAGTCGGGCGGGCCGACCATACGATCCTACACAACCCCGGAACTCTAACTTTCTGCGGATTCCGAGCCTGGCCAATATTTCGTGATATTTGCACCCTCTTGCCCAATTAGAGGTCAACAGCACCACTCCCTTACACTGACATATATTCCGAATATTACAAATATTCAGTACAGCTGTTTAATTAATTGAAGGATTACGTCTACTGAGCTAGTAGAGAGCATACCAACACAAATTGTAATAAAAAGGTAATATTGTTTACGACAATAAAACGCCAATATTCTATTGGACAAATTCTAATATAATTGTGTTTTACTTTTATCTGGGTATTTCTTTTCATATTCCCCATTTAAAAAACAGCCCTTCTAATTATTTGTCCAGATTCCCTTCACCGTGAGTTGTGTTGTGATGCTGGGCATATAATTGTGGCCTATAGATCGACTCAAAAATATACAAAAAATTAAGTTTTCAAAGCACTTCATCCCAATATTATTACCTGATCATCACCGAAAATTATAGCCATTGTCCTTGACCATAACTGGAATCTCAATCTATTGTGGTAATATCTCAGTATGTAAGTGTAACTCCCACATATGAGTATATACGACTAAGGTTTATCCACTCTTCTTGGATAAACCTTAAACTTCTCGGGTCTATGCACTTCAGGGTAAATATATACGCCGTAGAGTACAAAATTTGTATTTTTAACACAAAATTCCGGGTCCATTTGACCCGCTAAATACTGACCAATCTTTATCAAGACAGACATGCTTATTCTTTAGCCCGATCCCGTTCTCCATGTAAAATTTCGCCATGTTTGGGTCATAATTTCGCCCTCTGGAGCGACCAAAAAACTGACAAAAATTAAGTATTTCGTCCATTTCATTCCCTATATATTCACGATCTTTCTCAAAAACAATAGGGGACTTCATTGACCAGAACCCATCCTACAACCAAAATTTCGTGAAGATTGTTCCATAAATGTGGCCTGTATCGTGTTTACAAATTATAATGGACAGACGGACGGACGGACGGACACACATGTCTAGATAGGCTCAGCTAGTCGAGATTAACGATTGGTATACTTAAATGTGGGTGTAGGACCAATATTTCGCGGCGTTACAAACTTTTGGGGCTGCACAAAGCTATAATACCCTAACAACATAGTTGTGTAGGGTATAATTACATATCATATGACCAAAGCGTTGCGTTTTTGTGGCTCGTTACTGTAGGTCCATGATCGAACATCGTCAATATTAAGGTCACACCAATTTCCGGTGTTTTGAAGGTTTAAACTGCTTTCTCACATAAAAGTGAGTTATTTGGTATTTAGGGTACAAGCGGGGAGAAAAATGTATATGCCGCTATATAGGCCTATATTTTGACTAGTCCCAATATTTTCCATTTTTGATGTTTGCAAAGTTTTAGTAATATTTTTTACAAAAATTGCTTTAATTTTCCAGGACGGATTACCAGAGAATAAAAAGGTTATTTCCATATTTTAACATACGACATATACAATAGCCCCATATAATTTAGGAAATGTTAACATTCTTAGCCCACTTTACAATGACATACCCCATATAAAGGTTCTGACTAATTTAAGGAAATTCGAATGCCCTCCACAGGATGGAATGTTTTCTATTATGTAGTTTTAAGTTAATATCATCTTGAGTTTTTCATTTAGTAATGTGTGTAGCATAGCAACAAAAAATTTCATGTATCCCAGTTTACATGCCGTTAGTTAAAGCTGCCAAGCATTCCTTTGACACATGCCAACATTAACACATGCTTTGTTGGCTTTTAAACCAACTTAATTAATGTGGTTATTTGTGAATTCAGAGACAAATTGGATTTGAATATGTCAATAAATGAGGGATTTTGGTTTGTAAAAGATAAACAAACTAACAAACACTGACATATACAAACACACACAACCAAATGCAATGACACTTTAAAGGAATTGCAACCATGTTCTCAGACTACAAACAACCAAGTAAAATGCCAAAGGACATGTATGCGAAGATACAACCATTGAACTTTCATGTATTCAAGCATATAAAAACGATTTCTATATGCATGATTGCGAGGACTGTTATGAATGCATGAATTGAAATTTGAAAGCAAATATCGAAGTGAAAAACTGTTAAACAAGACGACAGTAGGAAAGCAAATAATATTGCCACTAAGTATTCATTGGCAAGTACTGGCATTCATCTTAATAATCAAAAATAGAAAAAAAACAGCACCAACAACCAATGAAATGAAGTGTTCAAAGCAAATGCTTTAACAACATCCGGCAAATATCACTTCATCTGTTCGTAAAGTGTCTGCAGACAATACATTCATTTTTTGTGTGTGAGCAACTACCCTCTTCAAAGCTAGGAACTTCTGTTTATTCTACAAGTCAAATTCCAAGAGTGTACTGTTTTTAGTTTTTGCACTTTGTTTTCATTTTTCCTGTACGGCAATGTTGCATTTGCCATTTGCATAACATAAATGTCTGAAATTATACAAAACCTAAGAAACAAGAAAGAGAAACAACTTCCAATACCATTGCTTGTGTGTGTACTTGTCTTGAATAAATTTTCACCAAATAATGAATATTCCAGGATGTACCGAGAAAGACGGCAGTAGCAGTACCGGTATATTCATTTGAAATGCAGTAATTGTGTTTCCTTTTGGATGTTTCTTATTCGGTACAGATGAATAGTCTTGTTGTTGTTACTGTTCGGTGAAATGAATTCTTTGCATGTGTTAGAAGTGAATATTAAATGCGCAATGAAATGAAATGAGTAGTGCACATAGTTCTTGATTAAATTGTATCGGACTTGAGGTGTGTTATTTTCCTAGAAAGGCAATATCTTGCTTTTTGGTATTCTAATTTAATCTTGTTTGCTTATCTCGATTTATTATGCTATTGGCAAAGAAGAGCAAAAAGGAGAATTTCGTAAAGGAAAGAACATAATTGAGAATAATTTATCAATCAATCAACCTGTTCAAGATAATAAATTTGAAGATGTTTTCTCATTTCTGACTTGTTCGTATGCAGCATGGTTGTAGAAGTGTTAAGTACCGAAAAAAGCCTACGTAATATGAAAACCATGTGTCGTATTATTAATTTGATACAGACAGTTTTGAAAATGTAATAATCATACGCACCCGGTATATGATATTATTCAATCGAAACTTCTTTAAAATATGTGATTAACAGATGTTCGTTTTTTCTCTTATCGTCAGTCGATTTTTGTGGCGAATTCAGAATTACGCTCACATACTCCCTCTCAATTTTGTTCCGTACAACATTGGTTTAGAGCCTGGTTCGGCAACTTATATACAAGCATTATGTCAATTCATTTCTTATTCTTTAAGTCTCCAGGTACTTATATACAAAGGTACAAGTCTTCAATTTAATGCACGTCTATTTCCCAGCCGGTAGAAAAAAAAAAAATAATAATAATAAAATAAAATCGAGAACAGGGGGTCCCTTAATTCGCTTCAACTTAAATGTACAGAAGTTCGAGGAGTCGAACTTGATCAGGTAAGGAAAACCTATTACGCTTTTCAAAGTTTCGATAAAATTGGATAATCGGTTCGCTTAAAACTGTTGACTCTTGGATTGGATTAACAAATTTTCAAAATTATGAACCTTCGTGGGGGAGGTAATACATGTAATGAAACGATGGTTGCCATCTTCGTACTAATTTTAGAGTTGGTAACATTACGATGTCATTGTAAATTTTGAAACGTTGTGGGAGAGATACACGAATGAGTGGACCAATGGGTCCCATCTTCGGACTTCATCTAGAATTGGTATAAATAATACCATGTGTAAAGTTTGGTTAGAACAGGATAGTCCGTTAGCATGATATTACAATCTTAATTGTTTCAACATTGTCTGTAAAGTGGGGCACACACCTCAAACATGTGCGTTCGATCGGTGTGAAGCTCCTAGCCCACACACGTCAAACGGATCCATTAAACTTCATTTCATATTTATTTTTGAAGCGTGAAGATGGACCGCGATAGTGATGACGGAAAAAAGACGTAATATTTTTATTTAATATAAATGTATTAAATACTTTTATTTTATTCCGGGGAAAACATTTTTATTTGCCACACAGTAGAATATGTGTAAAAACATCAAAAAATCTTCCAAATACATATGTATTGCATTTATCCGCTGATCCGCACTCCACGAAATTTCTCAACAAATGAGAAAATATCCACACACCAGGCCACAGACGTCAAACATGTGCGCGTCGCACAACGAAAAATTAAAAATTTTTAATTTCTTTTGATCGGTGTGCGCACCGGCAAATTGGTGTGAACACCGTACCACACACGTCAAACATTGCTTCGATTCACACCGATCGAACGCACATGTTTGACGTGTGTGGGCCACTTAACGGATTTGAACCAAAGAAACATGGGTCTAAAACCAATATTTGGATGATGCTCATAAGCTGAAGGTATAAAAAAGTTTGTAGTTGGAAAGTTAGGCTTAATGACAGATTTTTTTAAGGATAACCAAGGATACTTGTCCAGATTCTCCTCATCGTATGTTGTGATGTTCGGCTTTCAATTGCAGCCTATAGATCGACTCGAAAAAACACAAAAAAAAAATAAGTTTTCGGTCCACTTTATCCCAATATTATTATACACCATAGGATACAAATTTTGTAATTTTTCACCCCAATGTCAGGGTCCATTTAACCCGCTAAATATTGACCGATCTTTATCAAAACAGGCATGCTTATTCTTTAGTCTGATCTCCATGCAAAACATTCGCGATGTTTGGGCCATAATCAGAAAATCAGACAAAAATAAAGTCTTTGGCCCATTTCATCCCCTAAATATTAACCGATCTTTACCAAAAACAATAGGGTTATTTATTGGACAGAACAGGCATGCTTATTCTTTGGTCTGATCCCCCTCTCCATGCAAAAATTCGCGATGTTTGGGCCATAATCAGAAAACCAGACGAAAATAAAGTCTTTGGTCCATTTCATCCCCTAAATATTAACCAAACACAATATTGTTATTTATTGGCCAGAACATTTCGTGAAGATTGGTCCATAACTATGGCTTGTATCGTGTTTAGAAATTATAACGGACGGACGAACACACATGTCTAGATCGGCTCAGCTAGTCGAGATATGACGATCGGTATAGGACCAATATTTCTCGGCGTTACAATCTCTTGAGGCTAAATAAAGCTATAATACACTGACAGCATAGTTGTGTAGGATATAGATATTAACTTTATAAAAAAAATATATAGGCTTGGTAAACAAATAAGTTGTGCAAGATTCAATTCATATTGAATAGTCCGTTCGCATGATATTAAAGTATTAATTTTCATGAAAATTTTGACGATTTGTACCGAAGTTCCCAATCTTCGATCTTGAAGATACATTGCGATGTGCAAAGTGTGGATGAAATGGATTACTCCCTTCAAGAGTTATCGTGCGCACTAGCCAGCCAGACAGGCTTACATGGAGACGGACGAACATTTGTAAATCGGCAACAAATTGTTTGAAACAGATTTGGCCTAAAAAACATGGAGTATAAAACTAATATTTCAATTTTGTAGTCGGAAAACATTTTTTTCTGTAAAAAAGAGGATAAATGTTTTTAATAGAAAAATCTGTCATGATATAATTCTAATAATGAAATCAGAGTTCAGATTACTTGTATATTTGAGTTTTTGAGAAATATATTCAAAAAAATCAACAAATTACTCCTTCTCCATAGAACATTTTTCTGTAGAATGTTCGCAGTGGCTTGAGAACAGAGGGTTGTGTCTACGACCAATATTTGGAGGTTTCACAAACACTTCCGAGGTTTCACAAACACAAAATTATAAAGGGTAAACATAGTTGTAAAGGTTTTTTGTTTTACTTTTAATATTTATTTAAAAAATATATTTTAATGATATTCCATATGCTGCATATTCGGAATGCTGAAATTTTTAAAAATATTTCCAAGTTTCTGTAATTTGGTATTTCTCTTTCTCAGGGAATGAAACCTCATCCTGCACCTACATACTTTACGAAAACGTTTCATTGGGGTCGATATGGTAACATAAAAAGATTGCGCTGTACATTTGGGTTTGAAAAGTTTTTTTAAAGAAGCTATTAATAGCTTCAAGAATATCCCAACAAAAAACTAAGGGAACTGATAATTTGGTGAAACTATTCTTCCCTGCCTTACCCCTCGGCGGACAATGTCGTACATTCCTCACTAATAAATAGTTGTTTTTTATAAAAACAACCTAAATACTATTTTGCAAAAACAAAATAGTTTTGTACACCCCTAAAACCCTTATTTTTTACATCATTTACAATCCGGAATGCAAAAAAGCAGTTACTTCAGTTGGAGATATTCAACATATCGGAAAATAAGGAGGGCCTTTTAGAGAGCATATATCCAAACGATGACTGATATATGGCTAATGCATTACCAAACATTATAGGTGTGGTAGCAATGGATTTTGAACTTCAACCTTATGCGCCTTAAGTTGAAGGTTATGACAATCTGATCCGCGATCAACATCTGTATGATATTATCATGAATTTCTGATTTATGCCAAACGTAACAAATATACTTTTTTTGCTTATGTTCGGTTAATATCACTGTGTGATAACGCTTTGGGGGTGGAAAATACCTATTATGGATGAAAGATCTTGGTGAGTGGGCGACCCTAAAACACATGAAGATATTCATCAATATCTTGATTTGTATTTTGTATTTCTTGGGATGACATTTCTAACTCGATTTATTGTGGATCCTATTCGCCTTATTTTTTGAATCGGACGCCAATTATCACAACATGAAAATTTTCATCTTCTAACGTTCGTCTTTTTAAATCGATTTCTTGTGTGTTCTATTCACCCTCAATTTATTGAACCGTACACCAATTACGACAACATGCGATTTTTCATCTTCACAATCAAACCTATCACCAAGGCCTTCCATTGCCAATTTCAACCACCCAGACCAAGACCTCGATATGGTCCCACAGTGTATTTAGTGTATCAAATTAACCAACAAAATTATTGTTGCAATTATTACTAAAATATCGTTCACCTAGAACGTAAAAAAATAAATGTGTGTCTGTTTTTGAAATTGCCTCGAAATAGTGTCATTTAATACTCGAATAAAGGAAATTCAAAACAATAATTATATACTTTGCAATTAAACAAGAATACTATCCTTTAAAAAGTACAACAGTGTCATTCATTCAAGACAATACAATGACTGATAGTTGTATAAAAGTATTCAATATTTATTAACAATTATAAAAATAGCAATTCAAAAACGTTCACATAAAACTAAAAAGGCAGATAAATATTTTGTTCTTTAAAGAAAAAAAAAACTTCAAAGCTAGGCAATACAAACATAAAACAAAGAACTAAAAATACAAACAAACAACAACCATTGGCAATGACAACAACAGGAATACTTACTTGTTCGGTGAGTAAACCATTCGGACAGTCTTTTAGAAAACCTTTGTGCCTAAACGAAATAATAAATGTAAAAGAAGAAGAAGAAGGATACAATACAGTACGTCCAAGAATAATTAAATCAATTTTTGACAGGGGTTATTTTCTATTGAAAACCTATTTTAAAAAGCTTTCAATTAGTGTCTCAAATTTCCACTTAAATGTGAATTAAATTATGTTCCACTGAACAAAAATTTTCACTTACCATTGTCTAATCTCTTTTTCGGTGACTGTAACGAAAGAGAAAAGAAGAAGAAGACGATGAGCGAGATAAATTTAAATTCATTTAATGCTAAAATTTGTTTACTTTGTTTCGACAGTTCTGCACTAAAGCATAACAACCGAGAAAACATCAAAAGAATGTGGTGGGAAAAAAGGGATAGAGGGGATTTCGTTGACAATAAAAGGATACAAAACAACAGCTAAATCTTTCTGTGAAAAAGTAAACAACATTTGGATTTCAAACCACAGGGTTTTTGCTTATAATATTGCTGTTGTTGTTATTGTTTTGTTGTCGCCACTTCAGTTTTCATGTCCTTCGTTGTGTATTTGCACAAATTCTTCAACAGCTTAAATCTCAATAAGTGTAATTTTTCATCCAGGCGTACAACAACTGTTTGTTATTCTTAGTTGTTGTTATTGTTGTTATTTTCTTTTATGCTCTTCTTTTTCTGTGATGTTTACTAAATCAAACAACAATTGTTATAACAACAATATGAGATTTGAATAACAAATATGTATATAGAGAGAGGACGATTTTTATCAAGGATTCGTCATTGTCATCAAAATTATCCACTGGAATTATTTTGAAATACTTGGAAAAGAAGTATGTATGTACTCGGGTAAAGTATGTGTATGCAAGATTAGAATCATTTTTGTTTTGTTTGTACAACTTAATAATGCTAATGTATTATTTGATTAGGTTTACCAATTGTTTGAATATAGAAAACTGTTTTAATTACATGGTAAATATGCACCATGACATTTTTATTTAAATTGAGCGATATATATATATATATATATATATATATAAATTGTGTAAAAGATTTGTATACCCTTCACCACCCTGTGGTACGGGGTATTATGTCTTTGTGCATATGTTTGTAACAGGCAAAAGAAAATTAGATCGACACAGGGCTCCTTTTGAGAATAAGCATAGAATCACTTTCTGAGTCGTTTTATGCATGTCCGTCCGCCTGTCCGTCTTTTTTCCTATTAAATAGTAAACAAAGTACAGGTTGCAACCCTATTAAAATTTTGAAAAATCGGTTCAGATTTAGATACAGCTCCCATATATGTATATATCTTTAGATTTGCACGAAATTTGGCAAGCGTAATGAATAGGTAAATGTGTGGTGAAAATCGGTTTAGATTTATATATACCATATATATATATATATATATATAGTATATATATATATTCCCGATTTTGGAAATCTTTCGATTTGCACGAAATTTGGCACAACGTACTAAATTAAGTCTAGAATGATATGTGCGAAGTTTCGTGAAAATCGGTTCAGATTTAGTTATAGCTCCCACATATAGCTTCGCCCGATTTTAGGTAAATAGTCCACTAAAGCCCCTGGAAATCTTTTGATTGCACGAAATTTGGCACAGAGTTATGAATAAGATCGAGAATAATGTCTGCCAAGTTTCGTGTAAATCGGTTCAGATTTAGATATAGCTCCCATATGTATTTTCATCCGATTTAAGGTAATTGGTGCACCAAAGACTCTATATATTTTTCGATTTGCACGAATTGTGGTATAGGGTACTGAATTAAGTCTAGAATTATGTTGCTAAGCTTCGCGAAAAGATCCATAGCTAGGCCGATTGACACATCGTACTGATGTTATATAAATTAGTCTCCGGCAAGTTTCCCTGAAATCGGTTCAGATATAGATTTATAACAAAACGCGTCGTCTGTTAGGATACATATGTAAAATATACCCAAAGTGGTGAAGGGTATAGTCGGCCCAGTCCGACTTTACTACTTCCCTTACTTGTTTTTTTCTGAGTTCATGCAATTTGTGCTCCAAATACAAATATCTCCTACCAAACCGATTTCATACAAATGATACACTAAAGAATCCAAGTCTACCCGATTGACATGCAATTTTGCATAGAAATCAGAATGGTATTTAATTTTGTCTGATTCCTCCAAACGTGCTATGTCTGTTCTATCTACATGGTATTGTATATATTAGCATATCTTGTATGTACCCAAAGTGGTGAATGGTATCACCTACTATTTAGTTTTTAGTTTAGGCCGGTCGAAAGTTTGTATACATTCCACGAGGTGGACATTCAGAATACCTATAAAAGATCTGGACTTTTTGATGAGGGCCATGGGAAATTGATGCCAGGAGGAAACTGAATTCCAAACCGGTCTGTTATGGTACTTTGAAAGTTTTTTCCATATTTTCCAGCCAAAGTGACAGTAGCGTGGCAATCAGAATATTCTTGGGTCTTTATCCCAGAAATCTATTGGCCCTACATACATAATTCTACCTGCCGATATGGCAATCATAATATTCTATGGCCTTTATCAAAGTAATCTAACATTTCTGGGATACAGTTTATTTATTTTACTGGTTCTATCTCACATATTTCAAACTCCTGCTGTTATATAACCACCACAAAAATATACGTCTTTCATCTCCCCATGTTTTGACATAGCCCCTTATGAGGTTTCGCTTGATGAGGGTCCGACCTTCAGCATAACGGAAGGTGCTAAAGGTCATATCCTTATTTTCCAAGCGATAGATTTTTTTGGATATAAATCCATTTATTGACTTGTTTGTATTTCAATGATTAGAGCATTATTTTCCAGCCGAAGCTGCTATAATTTAGTATCCAGGGATGTTACTGGTACTCATATTGCAAATGGGGTATATCGGTCACGTTTTGATTTAGCCCCGTTACATACGCCCCAATATTCAGTATTTTTGGGCACTGTTGGGCACGTTTGTAATTTGGTAGTTATTAATATTGATCTATGTTTCGGAGTAGCCCCCATATTCGGTATTTTAGGTTTTTGTGCACATTTTTCATCGGAATTGGCTGTAGTCCGTATATAACGATGTCTCTCATCGGTTTGCACCGAAGTTGGCTATAATTTGGTATTTCGTTTTCTTCTTACAGACCCGATCGGTTTTAGGCATTTTTAATGTTCACTTCACGGTGTAAGGGTATTATAGCTTTGCGTGGTCCCATGAGTTCGTAACGCCACCGAATATTGATTTTAGACCCACCCTTCAGCATACCGAATGTCGTCTAAACATTGCTCAAACCAGCGTAATTTAGATCGTATAAAGCGTAGGATTAATAGGTCGTTCTCATTACAGCTTTGATGTGGCACCCGAATATCAAGAACAAAAGATGTGGCCAATCTCCTGGACCGCCAGGAGATGAATTCAAAAACCTTGTTTTGGATATACTTGAATCAGTGTGGGAAACACTCTTCGTCAATTGGTTCGAACAACACGAAATTAATCTCACCAAATTCGCTACAACCGGATTTTGGTGATTCGTGCCAGTTTAGAATTTCACATGATCTAGGTAGGATAATATCTAAAAAATTGTGAAAATTCTCGAATTTCCCACAAATATAATGAATTTTATTTGCATTTTGTATCGGTACAAATACAAGGATGGAAAATCAGAAGACACTCTGAATTCAGTTCGTGTCCATTCAGTGAATTCCGATTCTTAGATCCATGTGCTACATTATTTTATTTGAAAATAGTTTTCCCCATATGTTAACTACATATGGGAAAAACTATTTTTTTGAAGCCCTTTTAAATAATGAGATGCGTACATAATACAAAAGCCACAATTAACCCCTCAGAACAACATTTAATTACTAGCATTTACTATAAAATACAGCACTAATTTTTCAACTATTAAATTTGAACGGCTTATCTAAATTGATATTTATGTGTGTATGTATATTAAGCAACATTTATTATTATTACGAAACTTCAACAAATTCCTGATATTTCAAGTGCTGTCAATTATCCACAAGACATTTATTACCTTAAAGCCTTTCATTCGGTAAATAAGTTTAATGGAGCGTAACATCAATTAAATTTACACACAATGATGTTGTGGCAAAGCGAAGGCAAGGAACGAAATGTTTCATTTATTTTTTGTGCTGATAAAATTCCAATTAACATTAATTAAACAACAACGACGGCAACTTGCTTCTTAACATTATCGCATCCCCCCATTGGCTATTGGAAATTATATATTTCACTATTTAGCCTTTGGTTAATGCTGTAGCATTACCCTTTTACATCCCAAAGGATTTATTTTTACCAATTGAAAAAGGCCACAATACTACAAATAATTCGACAAATTCCCTATGGGGATAATTTTGCAAATGTAATGGAATTTTGTTGGTTCGACACATTAAGCTTAGGAAGGAAAGCTTTAGAGGAAATCCGCAGAGAAACGAAAACATGGCCAGCAGTAATGGAAATAATTTTAACCAACATATTTTTGGTATTTAATACTTTCAGTCTACTTGGAATCCACTTTAAGTCAAAATCAACACACGCAAATACCTATACATAAACACAAACACCCACACATACACCAAAGTCAATTCTTAACAAGAATTTCTACATAAACATATTTCCAGTCCTTACAGTCGCTTCATGCCTACAACATCCTTTGGCCCTCATGGCAATTAATTAGCTTTGGCTTTCTGTCATTTCACAACTGCTGAATGGCATCTGGCTGTTTCTTCTGTTGTGTGGTAGTCCTTTAAGTATTCGTTTTTTTCTGTGTCAATTGCTGTGCTTACGAGGTTGGTATGAAAACATTATTGGATTCTTTAATATTTTTGCAATTACCTGAAATCCTTGGAGAATTATTTGTGTGCCCTACCTCGTTAGTATTTATTTACATTTGTATACACATCAAAAATGCCAACAAAACACCCCACAGAGCTTATTATTTAAACATCGTTTACTGGGGACATTTGTAAAAGCTAATGATCTTCCATTCTTCGTAAAGAATTATGAACATTTTTCACCGTTTTCATGCAATAAATTTAAGATTAAACACACTTGAAATCTGAGCGATATGAATGAAGGGTAAAAGAAAAAAACTATCTGCATATTTTATTAATTAATGGTTCAGGTAAATAAATGACGAACTTTTTTTAAAGAATTTCTGTTGACTGTTTTCTTTAAAAATGTTTTTAATGACCGATACGAGGCGT